TATATATATATGTATATATATATGTATGTATATATATTGTTTTTTGTACGAGTGTTAGGATTTAATAACTATATTTAATTGGTCTGGTACTATATTTGATCCGGTATGCCATCAACAATGGATTAAACACATATGATAATACATTGAAATGGTAGAATAAAAATAAAGGCAAATATAATAATTAAAGAGCCTTTTAATAAAGATAAAATACTAATCCGTATAAACATCTTCCTCCTCTTGATCATTAGTGAAAACAGTTTTGTTTAAACTACTTTTTTCGTCCTGATCTTGTGAATGTGAAGAAGGTTCTTCTGATGCTTGGGTAGGAGATAAGCTCTCAATATTGACACCAACTCTATGGCTCACCAAGTATGTTCCATTCAAATAGCCTCACATGAATCCTTTCTCAATACATTGGTATTCCGGCTCTTTCAGTACATCAAAATCATAAATATTGTCATAAGTTTTCTAAATATGATCTCAATTGTTCTCTTAAAAGCTACAGATTTTTTAAACTCTGCTATAGCTCTCGATCTTACAACATTTTTATTAGCTTTCTTTTCTCAAAACAGATTTTATAATCTAATTCTCAACTTCAAGAGAACATCTTTGCATTTAGAGCAGTCTTAAACTTTTGGTGTTATGGATAATGTCACATGGTGTCTCTATTTGTTGTTCTCATGTTTTATCAAGCTCCTAAAACTACAAGGATAAGGAATTCACCACAGTAGATAATTCAATCCTACATTCAAGTAGTTAGACTTTCTAATATTGATACATCTTTAGCTTTAGCATTATATCTTCATTTATATTCACCTTAAATAAATTTGACATTTACAAATTCTAAATTCCATACGTTCATAGAAAGATTCAACTCAAGAACAATATCCATCGTCTTCATCGTGTGAAATAAACAAACTTGTATGATATAAATGAATTCAATTGAAATAAAAGAATGTATACATATATACATATATAAAAAAAGGCTTGTTGACTCTTTAGATCATTGAAATCCAATGCATGTATGATTCAATACTTCTTTAGGAGTGTTGATTTTTTAGGGACGTGGAGTGGATTGATCTTTTTTCAATATTATCACATTATTATCATTTTTGTTGTGCTCCAGAATAGGCATTTTACCCTCTTCATCTTGTGAGGGTCATTTTAATAAAACTTTTGGGGCTTCTCAAGTCTCAGTTTATTTGACTTTTTAACATGACAACATGTGGTCTTCCAAGATGAATAGAAAGACCAACTTTAAATAAGCACTCTTCATTCAAAAAATTATTAAGATAATATACCTGATATTGAAAATCTTTGCCTCTTTTTATATTGAAAATCTTCAACATATCTTCTACAGAGATATGGAGAGGAACAGAAAGCCCCTTTAATTTTTCCGATTTTTCATGAAGGCCCAATTGAAAAATCCACTAACACAATTCTTCAGGGGGGTCCCTCGTTCTCACATCCAACCATTTGCTTTAAGTAGTCATACGACCATGAATAATACATGTGAATACGTCTATCCTTGTCAAATTTTTTCGAGTCAGTGTTGCAGCACTCGCACGTGAATGCACACAATCACACATGCCAATGCTCATACAGACGCATGTGAAGGCACACGTGCACACACCTTAGTGCACACATGGGTGCAACTACAAACACATGTGTGAATGATTACACAACCACTCCCACAGACGCATGTGAAGGCACACGTGCACACACCTTAGTGCACACATCGGTGCAACTACAAGCACATGTGCGAATTATTACACAACCACTCCCACATTTGCTCCCCCATCTATACCACCACAATTGCACTAATCCACACATAATCAACACTTAATATTATTTCTTATCTATGGGAGTGATAGCACACAACAATAATCAACCCAATAACAACCATAATTTTTTTCTTATATAATTTTAATATAACAATCAAAGCAGTTATAGTAAAAAAAAAAAAATTATCTTCGTGATAAAAAAAGGTTTATATATATATATATATATAATATGTATATATAAATGCTCAAATCTGGACGGCCCGGTCGAAGATCCAACTGAACCGGACAGAAGACAAAGGCGCCTTCTTAGCCCTAGTTTGCCTTATCTCCTCCAACTTCCTAACCCTAGCAGCCAAACCGCATAAGAAATCCTGCGCCCTATTCCCCTCACCAGAAAGCCCTTCGAGTTTCTCCACCTTCCATCTCCCCACCAAAAAGTCAATAATATCCGCATAATCCCCAGAGGTGTAGATGCCCAGACGACGAGCAGCTGCCCCGAAGTGATCGAAAAGGCGCTCATCAGAGCCGTCGAACATGAGGTGAGCGGGCATGATGATCTTCTTCTTCATCATATCGGCCAAGGCGATGATGCACGTATCAGAGTCGATTTCAAAGAGCTTTTCGACGAGCTTAATGTATGCCGCCTCATGTCGCTTCTCATCGGCGGCGACAACGCCGCAAATGCGTGCGAGGTTGGGATCGCCATGGCGGCTGGCGTGGCGAGCTGTGTTGCTGTGTGAGATGAAGGTGGCTCGCTCTTGGAAAGAGGTGTATATGTATCCCCTGAGTGGATTGTTCTCTGCCTTCACATACTGTTTAGTTATGACAGATTATAGTTTAATTACATGAAGAAAGATTCTTGTTTGCCAAATAAAAACATGAAATTTTTAATTTTGACACTTGCATTTATGAAAACTCCTAGGGCATTCCCTTTGATATAGATCAACATAATGATATAGATCTACGGTGTAGATTGGATGCGGTGTCCGTATGCAATAATATTTCCTGAGGAGTCCATAGATATGGCCTTAAAGCTCAGGCATCCTTACTCTTATTTTTCTCCTACTAGGTTATCTTCTAAATCATTTTCAATTTCTTGAGAATCATTCCTATTTATGAGTAAAGCTTTTTAAACATTGCCTTGTTGTATACTTCCCATATTTTACTCTCAAGATTAAAGGCATATGTAGAAATATTGGCATTTATAAGAACCCAAGTTAAAGCCCAAGAGAAGACCCATGCTTAAATTATTCATATTTATTATTATTTTTTTTTTTTTAACATTTTTTAAAAAGCCTTAGAATCAAGAATGGCTAGCCACTTTTATGTGGGAGATCATCCTGACCGTAGATCACCTGATTTACGGTCAGGATTGGACACCGCATGGAATAATTTTTCCAATATGTGGAAAGCTCAAGGGTCATTGTTTTATTTACATACTTTGTAAGCAAATTAAAATATTTATTAAGATATTTTGTTTAGAATAACATATTTATTATGCTTGAATCTTCATTCTTTTGAGATTTACTAATAATTGGTGTGATTTGATGCTTATAATTATTCTCGTTATTTTTATTTGCTAATGAAATAATCACATTCTCTATATTATCCTAATTTACCACACTACATTGAAAGCCTCGTTCAAGGCTAGCAAACTCTCAAGTCAATCATCAAATTTACTCAAGAGACCTCACTAAAAGCCATTAGCCAAACTAAGTAAGACTAATATCATGACCTATTCTCTACTACTTTAGTCCAACCTAAACTCTATTAAATCTAGTTATATATTTTAGATCAAAACTACACATCTTATGCTAACATTCAATAGGAATTCCAAACTATTAAAATACTCTAAAACTCATTCTCTATAATGATTTTCCAAATCACATCTAACAAGTAGAATGTAGATTAGCAGTATTATTCCTACAAATTTATCCATCCAAACCATTCACCAATCAATCATAAATACAATAGACATTCTTAAAAATTAAATTAATAATATATAGCCATATTAATCCCTTAATCTCACCAAAAATGTCACGATACACTTTCACATTTTGTAGTAGAGCAAACATTAGCTAGAATAATTCTGGTTAAAGGTTTGAACAACCCAAGAATTTTTTTTAAAGAAAAAAATTTGTGGTGAGCATGCCTTCAAAATCATGTGTCATTCAAATAAGTTTTTGGTTAGTGAATCTCATTTTTTTGGCATATTTAATCATGTTAGTTGCTTGTAAATCTAGTGTATTTCTTTCAAATCAATGATATAGTGTAAAACCTTATCAGTGTGCTCTACCACAACACTTGGTCAGTACCCTTCTTTGAATCTATCATTATTCTTTTATGATGATTGAAATTTTTGGTAAGGGGGTACACCACATTAAAATAAATAAATTTTACCTAGTTACAGACATAATTTTTTGTATTCTTTTCTTTTCTTTTCTTTTCTTTTTCTATGGTTGAAGGAACTATTTATTTCTCCAAAACTTAACATAATTTATGATATTTAGAACTCAAGGTACATAACATATTTATTTTATTAATTTAAAATACATGAATAAAAATCTATGTATAAATTTTTTGTCTTTCAAGCTAACAAGTGTTTGTTAAAATATTCTGAATTGTTGAAGAGTTGATGTTGAACTTCCCACATTTCTTATGAATTTTTTGAATGGTGAGTCAAGATGATTGAACTCTTAGACTAATAAAGTATATATGCTTGCTAAAGAGTTTAATTTACCAAAATAGAATTAACTAGATATATCGAGACTTACTAAACTATTACCTTAACTAAAGGAGGTTGGTTGGGATGGGTTATTCTTAGATTGAAATGAAAAAAATAAAAAGAATCATAAACTTTCTTAAAAATTGTGATAATAAATAGCATATACAAGTATTGGCTATAAAGTAATGGAATCTCCTTGTAAAAATATATTATATAGTTTTGATAGCCTAATCTCTAAATAAAATTGTGCTAAAAATAATTATAAATTGGATAATAAATTTATTAATGTACTTAGTGGCGTCATTAAGAATGTCATTAAGAATAAAGCTAAATTATTTTTTTTCACAAACCCTAGAAGAAGCTATTAATTATGCTTTACCACTGTAAAACATGAAGATATTTGCATCTTCTACTCGAACAAGTACCAAACCCCACAAATTCATCATATTAGTCGGCTATTAGATTCATTCAACCTACTATCAAAAACTCCTATTATTATTAGTTATAATAATAATAATAATAATAAATTGAGTTCAAATGTCAAAAAAATTTCAAATACCAAACTAATTGAAATCCAAAATGATTTTATTAGATAAAACTAAGATTTCTATAAATAATAAATTTTAATAAATTTATGTGTCATTAAGAGATAAAATTCATAGAAGATCCATCAACTAATATGAAGAGGTGTCTAATTATAACTAAAATGGTGTCATTGGATTAAATAAAAGGAATACTTTTAATATCTAAGTTAATGGGTGACTTCTCCGTAAAGATTTGATAAGAACGGGTTTAATGAAGGCCTGGAAATATATGTTTTTTATTATTATTATTTTTCCATGGTGGACCATATTTAAGTCCAACCAAGATCCAACTTAAGTCAACCCAGGTCCAACCCAAGCGAACCCAGGTCCAACCCAGATCCTACTTAGGCTTGATCCAGGTCCAAGTCCAACCCAGGTCTAATACAGGTCCAACCCAGGTTAACGTAAGTCCATTGGTCCAACCCACATTAAACCAAGTCCAACCCAGATCAACCCTGGTCCAACCCATGTCAGGTTCGAACCAAGTCAAACATGGGTCCAACCCATATCAACCTAGACCCAACTCAGGTCTACCCAAGTCCAACCCAGGCCCAAACTAGATGACCTCTTACATCATATCAAACTGAGCTAATCTGAGCTGGAATCCTAGCTTACCACAGCTCGACCCTAGCCTAAGTCTAATCCAAACTAAATATATGTTATTTCATATATAATTTTCATGCTTAGTTTTATGTTTTATGTTTCATGGATAGTCTTCAAAAATAAAACAAAAATAAAAAAAATACATAAAATAAAAAGAACGACGAAAACCTCTCGCAAAATGATTTTTTTCGCAAGCATCAAAATCAATCCTAAATAAAATTAAACTCAAAAAACTAAAGAAAACTTCCATTTTTCATCACTAGTAACAAACCTAGAAATGTAACATAACATGAAATAAATATTGAATCTCAAATAATATTTAAAACACATCAGGATAAAGAATGAAGAAAAAAACCTATATAGATCTTGCATGAATTTTAGGTTAGCTAACTTAGACATGAAATAGAGGATCAAACACTTACCCCAGGTTAGTCTGAGTATAGAAACCTAGGTTAGTTTGATAAGTATCCTAATTAGTGTTAAGGGCCAGAATATACAAAACAAATAGACCTACCCCCTGAGACTAGAAGGAATGCTTTACAATGATGTAACTCGTGGTTATTACAAAGATAATTCAGACCGCCTTGAAACTATGAATTTTCTTTGCTACAATATTTAAGGGGGATTCCTGATTATGAGGTTTTTTATAGTTAACAAATACCAATGTCTAAGTGAAGACAGAAAGCCATGGGTATCCTGATCGGGGACGTTATTCCCAAAGTCTAGGTTACTCCACCACTTAGAATTTCTCATAGAGTCTAGGGTGTTTTTCACTCTCATCTAGAAATCCTACTCACCTGACTCTGTCCTTAGGTTAGGGATTTCAATCATTTCAGTCAGTTAAAGTCGATATTTCTAAATAAACTTTTGACTATATCTGGTCAATTCAAATTCACTATCTAATAATTTTGAATTCTTCAACCATCACTTTTAAACCCCCTTCCTCTAATGATTAGATCCTCGCATTTGGGCTTTTCTATGACACATTGTCATCAAATTGTATGTCTCATTCTCTTGAACTTAATTCTTCCAATTTGAAATCTTTCCTTATGCTCAACCACTTCAAATGTGAAAGTCTGACCTCTGATGATTTGACTAATTACATTAATCAATATTTTTTTTTAGAGCTCAGCTCTAAAGATGCATATAATTATGAGGGTTTTCCCTTGTAGGGAATGAGACCCTAGAATTAAAATAAACTTTATCTTACACTCATAAGGTAAGCAAAAAAATCTAGTTCCATAGACTGATAAGATTTTCATCATCCAGGTAATAGGACCAATTTTTAAGATAATATTTTTTTTTTCCTTTAGAAGGATATATTATTTTTTAAAATTTTGTGTCCAACCATCAAAATAGAAGTTTTCCAAAAGTTCTATACCATGTAGTGACACACAAAAATCCTCCACCAAGGTTTTTTTCAAGCGGCTTTGCTAAGGAATCATTCTTCTCTTGATTTTTTGTAATGAGTTAAAATCCTTCTATCTGACTTTCTATGTGTCCATCAAACTTATTTGATCTCCAGGTCATGTTTTGCATCTTTAATCTTCATGCTTCTGACTGCTTATTTAAACTTTGTTTACTGAGTGGGGTTTTCAGGACATGCTTCATCATCAATCCTCGTCATCGAGAGATTTTCAAATTAAATCTAATATCGGTTCCATTTAAAAGAATTTTTACAAGATTCTACAGTCGACTCTCTATTGATATATTTTTTGTACTCATTAGAAAAAAGATATCTCTGAAACTCATTTTCTCCCTTGAAATGGAAGCAACCTAGCCTTTGACCCAAGTCATCTTACTGGTGGGTCTGCAATCAAGTTTGGGACAGGTTTCAACAAGTTCATCATTTTTTCATTTGAAGTTCAAATCATCAATAAAGAATCAAAAGAGGACTTTC